ACAAGAATTTATTTTATTGGCTAAGACCACTTATGCATGGCTTAAAAAAAGTTTTAGATAGCTCTAAGCAAAATTAACCCAGCTATTGTTTCAAAGGCCCTATGTTTTCCCGTCAGTAGGACTAAGTAGCAATTTTTCCCTTAGTTTGCTGCAGAGCTAACTAAATGCATCTGACCATCAGAAAGTCGGTTCATTGCACATAGAGAATGTTGTTCTTTGTCCAAGTGCATTTTTGCTATGCGTGCTCTTTGCAAATTGTTTCTGTTGTTTGTTTTTATATTAGTAGCAGTCGCTTTTACTGGGTTGCTGCAGCATTCTTTCAGTACCTTGTTATATCCCGAACCATATAGCAAACCTATTAATGAAATGTTCAGTCCGAATGCTAGGTGTTGAAGGTGTTTTTTTCCACATAATCAGGAAGTGTAAGCCTTGAGACCATTTAGGACTACTATAAACTGGAGTGCCCCGATGACATTAGTAAAACTGCTTTTCCTCTGGATGCACCCCAAAAATGTCCAGCTCCTGGTATAAAAGAGTTAAGAGAAATTCCTAATACTTGTCTTACTAAATAGTTTGTTTGAAAATCCTTATTCAAGAGACAGATCCTCATTATTAAATTGCTGAGCGTTATTTCCCATGTTTATTGATGTGAGTGAAAGACTATCCTGAGCTTGTCGAAGTGTTTGGTTTGCTGTGTGCCATCCCGTGGGAGGAAGGTACAGAATCTCCCTGGAAGCAATTACTGAAGCTGACAAAAGTATATGATTCTGTTCAGCATGGGATCTATATCCTTGAGCTTCTGTATCTATAAGTAGTACCATCATGCTCACTATGAATAGGAGATTATTGCGGAGCTGATAATGCAACAATAAACACAGAATCACAAACAATATGTGGACTGTACAATGAACTTGCCAAGTGTCTTTATTCTAAATAGATTTGAAAAGAAAACCTGTATGTGGCTGTTCAAAATGAGCTTTCAACCTGGAATCTCTGCACTTCCTTTCATGGGTGTGAGGCCCATAGTTTAAAACCAAGTAGTTTTCAGAAAAGAGGATTTCATCATTCAGCCATACCCTTGCCAGGTATGGTTTTACAGATTTTTAAATTAGACTGTCAGCCATTTTCTAATTAGGTACAGAGCCTTCAAGAGAACCAGAAGTATTTAAAAAGATGGGACATAAATTTGCTACATCAACATAATGTTTAGTGACACTGCTTTGTGTTTCTGATGGTTCCTTTTTTCCAAATGCAGTATAAAAATAGTGGTCAGTTAGTTCTGAAATAAACAATAACACTTCACAAATGTTAAGAAATGTTAACACAAGTGTCCCAGCTAAAATTCGATTAAGGTAGTGACATCAGGGTTGGATGCAGTGCTTGTTGCTGTTCCTGCTAGAGTTAGTGGGAGATTTGATATTTATTTCAGAGATAGCAAAGGCTAAATCTGTCATTTTCTCCCCTTCAGGGAAAATGCCAGGTTTCTAATCAAGCAAATTATAGGGATGACATTAAATTCTTTAACTGCCTCGGTCCTCTGTACACATGAAATTTCATCCCTTCTTAAAGCAGGTTCTATTTTTAAACTGGCATAAATCCAATTTGTTGTAAGCCAGTTATAAACTGATTTGGATGTACCCACTTGGGGGGGTTATCCAGATTGAAATAAATGAGTTAAGTTCTGCTGCTTTTGTTGAACAATAACATCTTTTGTGATGGAGACCTATACTTGTATTTGTGGTTAATATCATCTAAGCAACTCTTTATGAGGCAATAAAAATGTTTCTGTTCCTATCTGGGGAAAGAACCAAAGAATTTTTATATTATCTTTTTAAAATTTTGTTGGAATTTCCCCTTTAAAAATTTCCCAAGATGTAAAGAGCAACTAGGTAGCATATTTAAAACACAAAAAAGGTCAGTAAAACAATCGAAATTAGTATGGATCACCTAATGTAAGGGCATTTTTAAACTAGCTTTTTTTCTGATGTGGTAAGTGGTGGAGATGCAGTTGTTCTGCTTTTTATGCTTTTTCCTCTCATTTAGTCATACAACGTAGTATGACAAGGACCTTTGTTAGTACTTGTTAGTACTCTAAACTGGCACATAAAGACAAGTAATTATAGTATTTATCCGATCTGGAACATGTTCTGCGTGACCCTGTCAGAGCAGAACCATGTTCTTCCCATTCAGTTCAGCTTTACCCCTGCTTTGTCCCATGCGTTGCCCTCTTACTGATTCCCAACACCGCATCTGCAAAGATATTTTCCCAAAAGGCTGGAACAGATATGTCTATCTGCGTGTACCGGTGCAGGATGCCTTAACGGGTCCAAAAACCTCAGGTGGCTGGTAGACACAGCCCTTCTCCCCTGTGTAGCTCCTAGACATGACCTGTCTGGCTACTGAGGTTTAGGCTACTTTAAGTCAGGATTTTTTAGTTTTTATAATTAAAATTTCACTATTTCAAATACAGAAACAAGAAATGTGAATGTATATTGGATGGCATAATTCATTCTGGATGTGAAGGCAACTGAAATTTTGTACTACTTAAGGTCTCAACAGGAGGCTAAAAGAACCAAATTGTCTTTGTAGTTTATGCTTTATTTATGATGAGAGCTAGCCTCTTCATGGTTTTGTGGAAAGTTGGAAGGAAAGACTGTTTGCGTCTGCTGATAGATCACTTTGCTGTTCTGCAGCTTACATTGCACTGTTGTTGATGTAACATTTCCTTCTGAATTGACTTTATGGAAAATAATGAGATGCTTGGTTGTCCCTTATGTAATTGAGAAAATTTGAAATGCAGGTTTAAATAAGATTTTGCATTCTGTGTACTGCTGATTAACTTGTTGGGAAAAGGCCATGAAGATACAGTCTCTTTTTCCAGTCTTTCTACTATTAGACTAATATGGCTTAGACTATCATTCAGTCCTTGGTTCCTCCAGTTTCCATTGTGAGAACACAAGCCTCAGAAGAAAAACCTGAACATCGGGTATTCCTTAGAACACACACTAGTTTGTTTTTGGTTTGTTTTTTTTTTTTTTTCATTGAGTGATCCAAGACTGTAAAACTTTGCTACAATAGCTGTGAAAGCTGTTCTTATCCAGATCACAGTGTGGAAGAGTCTGGTATAGATTGACAAGCAGTCTTTATTGACCAAGACCAATAAAATTTCTACATAGGTACTATCCTTAAACTCTTAACAGTTGCATACCAGTTAAATTTCTATAATTAGCTGCCCTGCAACCTACTAAACAAATGTGGTGGTCTGTCTGTACATTAATGATAACTGATGAACGGAATTTGTAACTCTATCGTTGACTGTATAAAAAAAGTCTTTGTAAAGTTACAACAGGCAGTCAGGACAATTAAGCATATAATGAATGCATGTATCATTGATGTTCACTTAAACCCTTCTGAGCAAGCTAGTGACATGCTAACTTTCTTTGCAGACAGATACTCGTTTGATCAGGATACTGCTAGTAGTATTTTTATTTGGAGGTTATTGTTTTTGAGCAATGAGCTTTAGTTAAGTCAGCATCCCATGTTCACTAAGCTGAACACCTGTGAAGACCGTTGCCTTGTTTCCTGGAGAGCTCTGTTTAAGTTCCTGTGATCATGAAATCAAGAGTTAATTTAACATGGAAAATATAATAGCGGTTTGAAAGAGGAAGTTCTTGTTGTTGATCAGGTATCATCTGTAGGTTTGTGTGTTCAGAACAGTAACACGTTACCAGGAAGTAGATGATTCATTAAAAAAAAAACCCAACAAAACTCTCCTGCAAAAGATGCAGAAATGAGCTTCCTCTTATATTAAAAAAAAAAAAAAAGTACAAAATTCTTCCTATTTACTTGCTATTGAAAAAAACCAAAAGGCCTGAACTATTCCACATAAGTTCATACTAAATTGAGCCTCGGAGAATAATTAAAACACTTTAACTGTATGGAATTACGTGGTATGCAGAAAAAGTGAAATTATTTCTCCATTCTCAAGGCATTTATTTTTGAAATATTTGTGTGTATTTAGACTACATTATATGAAGAATATACATTACATGGAAGCCCTTTCTTTTCGGTGAGTGATTTTGAGAAATGAATCAGCAAACACTCATGTTTGCACAGAAGTCTGGCTCTTGCTGCAGCTTCTCTTGGGTTTGAGGAGTGTGAGGCTGGTCACTCAAATGGATGGTGCATCTGTAGTGCTGAGTCTGCCTAAAAGAGATTTCTCTTTCTGCTTCGTCTCGAACCTTCCTTAGTTAATTCTGGCTTTATCTAATTGTCATTATTACTAGCCCAATGCTTTTTTCTTAGCATCTTTTGTGATTTGATTCCTTCATTTTCCTCCTTTACCTAAAATGTACAGGATTAATAATAGTGCCCCTTAATTTCCATTTTTCTTCTTCTTGTTAGCTCATCTCACAATGCCTTTTTCTATTCCGAGTTCTGTATCTTCCCAAAAGTGTTGTATTAAAATAGTTCTGCTGTTATGTACTCATTATGGGAAAGTATTCCATTTGTGTCTCAATCCAAAACAGGACAAACAACAACTGTTGTTATAATGGTGCATATAACAAAATTATTAACCTTTTCCTTGCATAAATGTCATAATCACACACCTAATACAGCAGTAGATGTAATATTAAGTCCCTGACTTCATAAGATTGATACTAAAACTTTGTGTGAGTAATACCACTTCTGGTAATTTAGCATAAATAAACTTTTCAAACAGATACTTTGTCCCTTGTGAAGAAATATGTAGGCATTTTCTCTCTCTCTTTTTTTTTCTTCTTTCTCCACTTTCACATTATTTGAAATGGCTTAGGGAACTTTTCATCCTGCTTCTCTAGAATGAGACTTTTTATGTAAATGTAGCATGACAATTTCTCATGGTAGTGGACAATAGAAGCAAAATGTCATGCTAGCTGCCTTGAAGGGTGTTATTTTCTGTATTTCTATTTAGCTAAGAAAGCTTGACGGTTAAAAATCTAATCTTCTTTGACTTGTAGATTCAAGATGCTGCAAGTCAAGGCTTGAAATTTATTGGAATTATACCTCAGTACCATTCCCAAAAGAACTGTCTTGTCAGCGCCTCCCTGACACCCGCCAGTAACAACTCTGTGCAATCAAGAGATAATAAAAATGTTTCAAATCACCCTGAGGATCATGCTTCACTGGATGGCGAAAAAATAGATGATATTAATGGATGCAATACTCCAGCACCAAGCGAGGAAAGTGCTGACCAACGTGCCACTTCCAGGGAGGGCTGGAGAGGTGAAGGACAGGCTGCTGAAGAGCAGAATCTCAAGTCTGCAAAGGGAAACGAAGAACAGTTTCAACACACGAACCCAAGTGTAACAGAAGCAGCAGACAAGCTGAATGGACTTACAGAGAATGAAACACCAGCATGGTGCTTAAAACCACTTACTGGCAGTAAGTATTGTAGTGACCTTTCATACATAAAAGCCAAGTTAAAATTGCCTCAATTATGTTCCCAGCTCCTTTGGGGGGTGGGGATGCAGGGACGACCTATTACCACTGTAATAGTGAAGAAAAGATGCACCAAGTGAGCCACTTGACCTCGTTTCAACCTGGTTATACAGTTCACGATGACTGAGCGTTAAGTCAGATGGCAAATGAAGAGATGATATAAGTGGGTGCAACTTTGTTATGGCCCGTTTGTATGCCTGAGTGTAAAGACTTATTTTTGTCTGCTGCTCAGCTGAATTGGTTCATATCTGTATTTGTTGCGATACCCTGAGAGTTCTTGATCTTTGTATCCTTTTTGTCCATTTGAATAAAAGCCCTGCTAATCTGCCTGACAAGCTTTTGCAGTAATAGAAGGAATAAGTCACAAAGCCTTATCACAGTTAGTCCCTTTGTAGCAGGTGAACAGATAGCTGAAATTAAAC